ATCCCAAAATATCTTTTAAACAAGCTTCTCATTGTGGTGAGCTGAGACTGTGCCACTGCACTCCAGACTGGGCGACAGAGCGAGATTCTGTCTCAAAAAAAAAAAAAAAAAAAATTGCAACACCACAAAGAAAAGAAATCATTCAGAAAATTAATAGCTCTTTGAAATTGAAAATTTGTTAGCAAAAACTGAAAAACTCAATAGAAGAATTTGAAGATAAAATTGATAAAATATCCCAGAAGTAGAACAAAAAGACTAAGAGATGGAAAGAAAAGGTAAGAATATTACACAATCCATCCAACGGAAGGCTGACATCCGAATAACAGGAGTTGTAGAAGGTCAGGAGAGAGAAAATGAGAGGAGGAAATAATCAACTATATGACTCAGGAAAACTTCCAGAATTATAGGCAAAAGTTTCCAGATTAAAGAATCAAGAGTGTTAATAGCCTCAGAATTCTCAATAGCAATACTGGAACCAAAAGATAATGGAGCAGTGCCTTCAAAGTTCTAGCCAAACCATTTATAAGCAAGAGAAAAAGCAGAATGACAAATTTTCAGTTAGGTGAACTCTTAAAATATTTACCTCTAAATTATCTTTCTCAGGAAGCTACTGTTGGATGTGCTCCATTAAAAGGAGGAAGGTAACTAAGAAAGGAAAACACAGGATACAGGAAGCAGAAGCCACACATAGACAATAGGAACCCCAGGATGATAGCTGTGCACCAGGCATAGAAGGCTACTGGTCCTGACTGGAGCCATCAGAAGGCCTCATCAATGGAGTATGTACGTGAATAAAGATTCTGAGAGATTTATAAACGGAAAATTGGGGGATTAAATGTCTGTAAATATTAGTAAAAAAAAATTGGCAATAGTAGTAAAAATACTAGTAAGATAACTATGGCACATTTATACAGTTGAATCTCATGCAACTGTTAAGGGGGAGTGCTTTATATACTGAGATGGAAGTATCTCCAAGATATGTGGTTAATAGATAAAAGTAAAATAATGGACAGTGTATATAATAGCTACCATTCCTATAAAAACAGCTTAATATCATGGATCGAATTTTATTTAGAAGGATCAATGAAAATGAAGTAGATATATACACGCTGATATGGAAACATCTTCAGAATATATTACTAATTGAAAAAAGAGGATACACAACAGTGTATATTGTATACTCCCATTTTGTAAATAAATAAATAAAAGTGACTACACAATAAACATAATACCCTTGCCTAATAGAGACTGGCAGGGGTATTTGGCTCTAGCAGGGGGATTTTTTCAAACAACAGTAGGGTAAATATTCTCTCATAGAAGAGCAACTGATTCATACTGGGACGAAGTTACTAAGTACCGTGATGTATCAAGTTGCCTACCTGTTCAAGCATCACTATGGAGTCTCGGAGCACTCCCTTTAAACGATGGGCCTGATCTTTATTCTTCTGAATATTTTCTGCTCTTGACACCATATCAGAGGCTAAACTGAAAGAAAAATACCATCTTCAAAATGTGGAGAATAGCTTCTGATCTTTTTTTCATTTCCAGAAATCATCAGAGCCCCATAAATTTGCAAACAAAACACAAAATTAAACAAACAAAAAACAGGCCATTTGTGGCTACAGGATAGTGAGCAGACCACAATCTCAAACTGAAATTAAGTTTTCTGCAACTAAAGAATTACTGAAATAATATGGTGAATACAGGTCAGGGGGGAAAAGACTTACTTTAAAGATTTCTCTTCTTGGAGGCGGAGACGGTAGAAGGACTGAGCAGCATGTTCTATCTTTGACAGCTTCAGAAACAGTGTCACATTCAACAAAACTAACAACACCACACTAGGCAGAGCAAATCATATCTGTTAATCCACACTTTTCCAGACCTAAAGCATTGCTAATGCAGAATATACATGCAAAAGCTTCAAAAATGTATATTGTCTACACTGTTTTCTAGTTATTGTTATTATTTAAATCAATTATCCCTATTACATGAAATAATTACTTTTAAGTATTAAGTGGAGGTTGAGGGAAAAAATGGAAGGTAATTAGAGTGACAATACAAGTCCTCGAATAATCCTAACTCACAGGTTTGGGGTATCTGTGACATCTCTCCCATCTGCTAGGAATCCTAGTCAGTGTTGACGTGAGACCACCAGCTTTGAAATCCACTAGATAAGCTTTTAGGATCTATTTTTGGGTGCCTTTGGCTTAGGCAATTACACACCCATAATGCTGCCTTTCAGAAAAAGAAATGAAGATCAATATGTAGCTGATCTCAGGTAGAGCATGATGTATCTCTTATTCCCAGTGGAAGTCAGCAAAAAAAAAAAAAAAATTACCATTCAGCAAAAATTATTCTAGTTCATCTTGGACAAAGGAAGTATCAAGTCCCAAATATACATTAATGCTGTCATATATAAAATGTTACATGCTAAATGAACTTACTGTATTGGTTTTCACAGCAGCCTTTCAAGTGAATGGTTACATACCTTATATATATATATATATGCAAATATATAGGTGGCATCATATCTCTCTACTTTTTCTATTAAAATATTAACTTGACCTTATTCACTTTTACTCATCAAGAAGATTTATTTTAAAAAACTTAAGATAGTAGCAAGAAAATCCAATCTTTGAAATTATTATGGCATTGAAATAGTATACAGATTAATATTCCAACTTTTCAGTAAACATTTTCTGTAAAGTAATGCAAAAGAACACTGATAATATTTGCTATTCAGAACTGTCATAAAAAACTGATTTAAGCAGAACATAAAAATCTTCCATAAAGCCCAAAGGAACAACAAACATCTTCTATGTTCTGAAATCTATAATTAGAAAAAAAAAACCAGCTAATATTGAAGCTCCAATCCAAAAAATTATCACCTTCAATATATCACTAAGTCAGAACCAATTCAATTAAATCTAACAGAATGCCTCAAGATTCATATAGAGCCACGTAGATATTAGTATTCTAAATATGACTGGCTGAGTGGATTCCTATAGAATACCCTGGGATTCAGACATTGTCCCAGTATTTTTTAACAGGTAATGCTCATATCACTTGCATCAGAATAACCTGGGGTGTATGTTTTAAAATACTGATTCCTGATGCCTACTCAAGAACTACTGAATCAATCTCTGAGACAGGGGTCAAGAAATCTGCATTTTAGCAAGCACCCCAAGTGATTCTTAGGCCCAGCAGAGTTATCTAAGAACCATTTGTCCAACCAAATAGAGGAAAAAAGTATTATTGGGACTTCCCCAGCATGTATATATCAATATTCCCTTTAAATTTAGGGAACTCCCCATAAAAACCTATGATGGTGTAAATTAATCAGATTAGCTAAAAAATAAAAACATTTGTTGAATGAGCACTTTATATTTCCTCAAATTTAACAATTCTTCTTAAAATCATATATAAAGCTAAAAATCTGAAATCTATAAAATTGCTATTTTTATAGGCCAGCAATAGTCAAATAGTGGCCATTTCTACACAATAATATACAAATACATTCAAATTCTTTTGGAAACTAGTTAAAGATAAATGCTGACACAAGCAAAATAAGCATTCACAACAAATACTTACAAAATACTCATCACCACAATAAGAGTGACGTTATAGTTTTCCATGTCCTTTTTCTTTCCTGTAGATCACAAGAAAAAGGCTGCATTAGAATGAGAACTGTGATTACAACTGATCCAATTTATTTATTTATTTATTTTTGAGACGGAGTTTCACTCTTGTTGCCCAGGTTGGAGTGCAATGGCACGATCTCAGCTCACTGCAACCTCTGCCTCCCGGGTTCAATCGATTTTCCTGCCTCAGCCTCCTGAGTAGCTGGGATTACAGGTGCGCGCCACTGCGCCCAGCTAATTTTTGTATTTTTATTAGAGATGGGGTTTCTCCATGTTGGTCAGGCTGGTCTTGAACTCCCGACCTCAAGTGATCCGCCCGCCTCGGCCTTGCAAAGTGCTGGGATTACAGGCGTGAGACACCACGCCCGGCCCTCAACTGACAGAAATTTCATACTCATTTGAAAAGAACCAAAAAAGAAATTTTAAAAGTTATTTGTAAAGATAAAGTGATTTAGGGTAAATTCCCTGCACCCCTTTTTAAATTTCTGACATCCTGAGTAATATGAAACAAATCTACAAAGAGAAAGCTTACAGCACTCCTTAAATTTGGCCTATATTGCAAATTACTCTGAAATTAAATAAGCAATTCAATACGACATGCTTGATAACTAAGTAGCTAATAATCAATAAGCAAATATCTCTCCAACTAATATTTGAACTGGGCTTACATTAAATGCTTCCCTCATTAAAAAACAAAACAAAATAAAACATTATCACCTATTCATTGTTACCCAAACTTTTAAATTCCAAAATTAAACAGCCATTAATATTAAATAGTGGATAAACATAGTCACACTAAACTCCAAGCCTCAAAGGAAGATCTGATAAGAGGATGAGAAGCTATGACAGTTTTATACCTTCAAGAGGAAGAGAATAACAGTTATTAAAAGTAAGATGTGTTCAAAATTGAGAATGAAGATAATAAAAGTCCAATTTTATCTTTGCAGTTTTGCTGGGCTGGCCCTGACAGTATATAAGGATTAAGAGAGCAGCACACTCAAACATGGAAATTGAATATCTATAAATGCTAGGCAGCAAATAAATGAGCAAAGTGGTTCAGAACTTGGCAGAGTGGTGATTGTGGTGGGGGCTGTGGCAAGCTGGGGCGCACATAATCTAACAGGGCAGCTACTACTATGCTCCAACCAACTGCTGCCATGAAGGGATTTCAGTGCTGGGCTGTCAGATCTGAGTTTTTATATAAAAAGGTCCAATTTTAGCCAGGTATGGTGGTGCACACCTGTAATCTCAGCTACTCAGGAAGCTGAGGCAGGAGGTTCACTTGAGTCCAGGAGCTCGAGGTTACACTGAGCCATGATTGTGCCACTTACAGCATGGACAACAAAACGAGACCCTATCTGGAAAAAATAGGTAAAATTTTTTAAAAAATTTAATGTCCAATTTTTGAAATGACACGTGGGCCAAATAAAATATATTGGTTATAGGCTTGCCATTTTGCAACTGCCCCTTTATACTTACATATTAGTTATCTTTAAGGAAATCAGAGTTTGATAAACATTATCAAAAAAGGAGGGAAGAAACAGAGACCTCCTGACATATCTTACAAACAAGAGGCACATTCTGCTTCCTACAACTAAAGTATAAGTCTTTCATCTCTGTTTACCAGGTGACAACTACCTGTAATATCCCCTTTGGCACCTAAGCCCACATGTCCGGAGGAATGCTGGGAAGAAAGTTTAGGAACTGTTTCTGCTGTTCGGTTGAATGCTCGCCTTCTCCTTCGTAGGCCAGTAAGTTTTCCAGGGTCTTCAATGGCCTGATTTAACATAGATTCTTCAATTAACAAATCTGATTCTAAGAAAAAAAAAAAAAAACAATCTTTAGATAGTGGGGAAAGCTCCTCAACTTTAAGATACTGGTTTTTGCTGGTGATTTTTGATAATTTTCTTTAACGAATTCCTTAGGTTCTTATGGCCTAGATTTAAATTTTACACTTAATGAAAAGCTTTAGAGAGTACAATGACCCCATAATGAGGTTTCATTATTCCAGGAAGAATGTGTATTAATAAGTGACGGGATCATCAGAGCAAATTTGCCATGTGCTATGTTATTAATACATATTAATGTAATGATTTCAGTTATGGAAACAACAGGCCACCCCACTTACACTGGATCATTAGAAAGATTTCAGAGACAGATTATGGCACTTCTCAACCTTACAGGAAGGAGTAGCATATACTAGTTCTAATTTTCAACAAGGGTTTGCAAGAAAGGAAGCACTAGCAGAGAAAATCTGTAAACAACCTAAAAACCTTATTTTTATCATTTTCAACCTGTTCCTCTGCCATAATTTTTTATTAGAAACTTATTCAGGGGCCAAACTAATTTTTGAGTTTCATTTTTCTCTGCTCCTGATGAAGAATTTAATAGTGAAATAGACAAGGAAGAAAGGCAAGGAAAATTATCAGCCAACTAGATGATAAGCCTTAAATTACCTTGAGTTGACTGACCACCAGCTTTTCTTCAACTAAACTTAAATTATGCTCATATGTGTGTGTGTGTAAATATATATATATATATATTTCTCCCATGTATATGTTAAGAAATATCCAAAGAGAACCACTGTATCGTTTTCTCTAGTCAGTCTCTAGTACTCACCTCCACTAAATCCACAGATGTATGTACTATCATTGCCAAGTGGCCCTGTATAAGCCCAGGAAGGCTGCATCTGATAAGGAAGGTGACCCTGAGGACTCCCCAGAGGTTAGACAGCACAGGTGTGTATCTACGAGCAGGTTATGCAGTCAGCCTCCTTGGCTCCTTACAGAGGCAAAGGGGTATGAGAGCTCTTAACTGTGTGATCTTGATAAAAGTTACTTAACCTCCCTGTGTTTCAATTTCCTTTTTTAATAAAATGAAAAATAATAATTGTACCTTGTTCTGAGTATGAAATGAGTTAATATTTGTAAAACACATAGAACTTTATTATATATGTCTGGGATATAATAAGCATTATGTCAGTGTTTGTTCAGCCGTGCACGGTGGTGCCTCACTAATCGCAGCACTTTGGGAGGCTGAGGCGGGCAGATCATGAGGTCAGGAGTTCGAGACCAGCCTGATCAACATGGTGAAACCCCGTCTCTACTAATAATACAAAAATTAGCCGGGCATGGTGGCACGTGCCTGTAGTTAGTTCCAGCTACTCGGGAGGCTGAAGCAGGAGAATTGCTTGAACTCAGGAGGCAGAGGTTGCAGTAAGCCAAGATCGCGCCACTGCACTCCAGCCTGGGTGACAAAGCAAGATTCCATCTCAAAAAAACAATTAAAAATAAAAAAAAGTGTTTGACCAATGAAAATTAAAAGTTTTGAAATTCCCCAAGTGGCAGAAAAAGTGGAACAGTGGGAACCACTGTAGTGGGAGTCGTTCCAACATCATTGACCAGTTTCCTGTTATGAATCCAAATGAAGAATCAATCCATTTTGTTAATAAAGTCCATCTTTACAAAAATAGATAAATAAAAAAATTTACAAACCAAGCTGTTTGAAATAGTCCTCCAAAGAACTCCAGGAATTCTTTTCAATTAAAGATTTGACAAGGCCCCATGGCTGTTTTCTATATTTCACATCTGTGGAAACTCTAGTAGAATGAGAAGGAAAGAATATTTATTTAAAGAGCAGACTTCAGTTATATTTGTGTTACAATTAAATGTAAGATTGTATTCAGTGGAAAGCCAAAAAGATTCAAAGTCATTAATATTATAAAACAAAATGCGTTCATTGATAACTTTTATTTAAAAAAATCAATGTGTGCCGCTAATAATTTCATCAAATTTTCCTTCTAAGTACTTGCCATTTTACTTATTTCCTTTCTCTAGCCCTAAATTTTATTTATCTAAATAGCAATAAAGTCTCAAAATAAATACCAAATTTTCTAAATTCCTTGTATAAAAAATCTCTAGTGGTCATACACTAGGTGAAAGTAACTACATTAACCAGACTAGGCCAAGTCCATCGCTCTCTGTAATGCACAGACATTTCTCATTTCCCACTGCAGCACAGCCAATTACTGCTCACTGAGCACTCCCACAAAACTCCCAGCCCCTTTGCCATTAAACAAGGTCACGTGACTGGTTCTGGTCAATGGATTGTGTACACAATTCTACAGCTTTCTCTTCCTGTGGCAACTGAAACAACACATATTCTGGATCACGTAGCTCCGGATGTCAAAGCCTTCACCAAGCAGGGACCTTAGGTGAGACGCCCCACTCCTCTGCTGACCACCGTTGGAAATGTAATTTGAGCAAGAAATAAAACTGTTGTGTAAAGCTACTGCTAAGAATTCAGGATGAATAAATTACCAGGATATAATCTAGACTATCCTAACACACTCATTTACAGCAGCTCACCTTAGCCTGCACTTCTGTTTTGAAGATCGGATGATACAGTATCTGTTCACGGTATAGAAGTAATCATGGTAGGGGACATCATGTGTCAGTACTTCTGAATCTACCAAATAAAACCGTGCTTCCTGACTTTCTTTATACAGTGTCTGCCAAAATAAGATAAAAAATGTTTGTATGTATATGGTTAATATATGAATCTTCTTGCCAATTTAGAACATGTATACTAGGATTCCTTCTCAAAACTTAAAAAAGACATGAGAAACCTATAGACAAAGCTAGAAGAGCCTACATGCTGACTCTGTTGTCTATAAATTGAGAAAAAGAGGGCCGGGTATGGCGGCTCATGCCTATAATCCCAGCGCTTTGGGTGGCCGAGGTGGGAGGATCACTTAAGGTCAGGAATTCGAGACCAGCCTGGCCAATATAAAAACACCCAGCCTCTAAAAAAAAAAAAAACCTAAAAAATAAAGAATTAGGCCAGATGCAGTGGCTCATGCCTGTAATCCTAGCACTTTGGGAAGCCAATGTGCGCAGATCACTTGTGGCCAGGAGTTCAAGACCAGCCTGGCCAACATGGCAAAACTCCATCTCTCCTAAAAATACAAAAATTGGCCAGGTGTGGTGGCACATGCCTTGTAATCCCAGCTACTCGGGGGTAGGCTGAGGCAGGAGAATCACTTGAACCCAGGAGGTGAGGTTGCAGTGAGCAAGATCGCCTCACTGTGCTCCAGCCTGCGAGACACAGCAAGACTGTCTCCAAAAAAAGAAAGAAAAAGAAACGAAAAAGGAAAAAATTAGCTGGGCTTGGTGGCACACGCCTGTAGTCCCAGCTACTTGGTAGAATGAGGTGGGAAGATCATTTGAGCCCAGGAGTTTGAGGCTGCAGTGAACTATGATTACACCGCTACACACCAGCCTGAGCGACAGAGTGAAACCACGTCTCTTAAAGAGAGAAAGGGACTTACAGAAATCGTATTTGCTGCCCCTGTGTCATTTATTTCACTATCAAATTGTTTTTTCTTTTAGCCTTGAGGACAAACCATATAATCTCTTATGTGTACTATAAGTTACAGAGTTTTAAGTGTTCCTGTTAGGTGAACAATTCAAAAATCAATTGAATGAAGTAAGGATTCCACCTCAAAATTAATCAAAATTCAACCACCCTTCATCAAAAAAGTCAAGGAGGGTAGTAACCAAACAAAACACTGCTTTTCCTAAACAGGATTTTAAATGGTCACTGGCCAAACCTTTCTCATTTTAACCATACCTTTTCTACCTATCCTTTAAGGGGGTGGCGGGGGAGGGGTTCCAAAGTTTTCAAAGACTCCCCAATACCAAAATACCAGACTTTTCTTACGTTTGATAATCTTTTAAGAATTGTTTAAAGGTATGGAAATATGTTCTTTTTAATGATAATGGACAAAACTACAAGAGCACAACTAGTTCAGATGTTGAGATGTTTTCAGACTACTTGCAAATCAGATACTTCAACACAAATTGGCTAAACACACACTCCACTGTAAGACACTGCCACTCTGGTCACAGATAAAGAGCATTAAATACCTCGTACAGTATTCAATTTCAAAAACTCAATCTCTTCCCAGGTGTCAAAGCAGCCATCTAGTTATTTGGCCCCTAACTCTTGCAACAATTCTGTAAACCAGATTTCAGTAGTGTTCCTTTTTTTTTTTTTTTGAGACAGGGTCTAGCTCTGTTGCCCAGGCTGGAGTGCAGTGGCTAGAGCATAGCTTGCTGTAATCTCAAATTCCCGGGTTCAAGTGATCCTCCTGCCTCAGCCTCCCAAGTAGGTGGGACTATAGGCACACACCATCATGCCTGGTTAATTTTATTTTTTCTAAAGACAAAGTGTCACTGTGTTGTGCAGTCTGATCTCAAACTCGTGGTCTCAAGTGATCCTCCCACCTGGGCCTCTCGAAGTGCTCGTATTCCAGGGATGAGCCACCACAACTGGCCTGGTATTCTTTTTTTTTTTTTCACAGTTCTTAAAACTTTAAAGTCCCTCAAAAACTATTTATTATGCAGGTGAATTTTGATAGTCATGATGGGCTTATCGGTAGGATTTCTGGTAGCGAACACAGGCACCAGGGCCTCCAAACTTTTTGGATTCATAGCGACGGGGATCAGCTACCAGCAGGGTCTGGTCATACTGGATGAGGATGTCTTTGATCTCCTCCTTGGAAGCCTCATCCACATATTTCTGGTAATAGGCCACCAGGGCTTTGGAGATGGACTGACAGATAGCATAAATCTGGGCCACATGCCCACCACCCTTCACACAGACACGGATGTCCACACCAGCAAATCGCTCCTTGCCCACCACCCTTCACACAGACACGGATGTCCACACCAGCAAATCGCTCCTTGCCGAGAAGCAGAACTGGCTCCAGCAGCTTGTATTGTAGCATGCGCGGCTCAATCATCTCCAGGGGCCGCCCGTTCACCTTGATGAGAACATTGCCACGTTTGCAGTGCGCCACAGCTGTGGCTGTCTTCTTGCGTCCAAAGACTGCACCGACTGCAGTGGGCCATTGGACCGCATGGCTGCGAGCGTGAACTAGAGAACCTAACCGTGCTACGCTGCAACCAGAAAAAAGTGGTATTCTTTTTAAAAAACTATTTTCTTTGGGAGGCTGAGGCAGGCAGATCATGAGGTCAGGAGTTCAAGACCAGCCCGACCAACATGGTGAAACCCTGTCTCTACGAAAAATACAAAAATTAGCCAGGCGTGGTGGTATGTGTCTATAATCCCAGCTACTCAGGAGGCTGAGGCAGGAGAATCGCTTGAACCCCGGGGGCAGAGGCTGCAGTGAGCCGAGGTTATGCCACTGCATTCCAGCTTGGGCAACAGGAAGACTCCGTCTCAAAAACAAAAACAAAATTGAATATATGAAAGAGTAGAAATGAAGTATAATGACCCTCGTGAGCTCATTAACTAGCTTCAGCAACACTAACTCCTGCCCAGTCTTGCTTCCTTTGTCCTCCGTCCCATATTCCCTGCCTCTGCCACCATCCTCTGCCTGGCTAGACGACTTCTAAAGGAAATCCTAGACATCAATATAATGTCATCCATAAATACTTCACTATATCTCTTTATGGATTCTTCCATATATCTCTTTTAAAATAAATATGATTTTCTTTAATACACAGCTGTAATACCATTACTATACATAAAAAATAAACAATTCCTGAAATCTTATAAATACCTTTTAACAAGTGGTTTGTTTGAATTAGGAGTGGGTTGATATGATTCACATGCCTTTTAAGTCTCTTTTAACCTGTAACAGTTTCTCGTCCCTTTTTTCTTGCCATTTGTTTACTGAAACTGTCTTGTAAATTGGTGAACTATAACAGGCATCTTCTCTCTTCCCCCACACATGACTCTTCTGGACACTGACAAAGCAGACGTACCTGCTTTTCAGTGGCAGTGGTGCATTTTCCAGTAAGTGGACTATTAAGGACTATAGTGTAGGTCATGGTTCTCAGCTGGTCACCTCCAAGTTCTGCAGTCCAAGGGGTAGATACTACATCTAACCACAGCAAACACAAAATGAGTTAGTTCTAGAAACTTGAACAGTATGACTTTAAATGAAATCAAAGGAGTTTCTGAATTATTAAAATTTCTATTTTTGACTAGTGCTAACTTAACTGGGTATTGTAAGTTTAACATTAAAGAAAACAGAGATTAAATGTTGAGCACTCTCCTTAAATGTGGCATATTGCCCATCTCTGATCCATTTATTTCTAAATTGTTTATTAATATCCTTTTTCCTTTAAGATAAAATTAAAAGTTGTTTCATCTGTAAGCTTCCTTTTAAAGTCCTCAGTACCTACGAAGAGAAGTAATGATGCCAGCTTTATCAAACAGAGACGGAACAACACTTTAACATTCCCACCATTGAGGACAAAACTTTAAAAGATTTTTGTCATTATGAAACCATCTGACCTTGATATCAACTTACATAGAAATTATGTCAATGTTATGAGAAATCATGTAATGTCAGTGCTTGTCTGCTAAAATCTTTAATCAAGGTAAGGCAATGGAACATAAATGATTATATAATCTGTCTTAAGAAGACTATAAGATCATATCTTTATGTTTATGGCAAGATCCTGGTAAAAATTCTCTTTTATTTGCTTAGGGACAATATAGTGATTAAATACACACTTGAACAGAAATACAGTTCTAGAACACAGTGAAGGTCATTTCATGGAAGCCAAAAATTTAAAAAGTATAAATAAAAGCGTTAAAAACTCTATTGAGAGACATGACTGTATCACCTAATGGCCTAGCACAAATCGACTTAGGCAAGTACCAGCATGTTTGACGGCTATTCACCAATATCCTAAAGCATAGGAGCCTTTATCTAACCCATTATACTCATCGTCAAAGGAAGGAAGTAAGGCTTTAGAATACAGCCAGTTTTACTCAACTTCTTTTATATTGCTAGATGTGAGGATTTAATGAGGGATCCTGAAATTGCCTTTTGAGTATCTGGCAAAATCTTGTAACTAAATTAAAAAGGCAAAATCACAAACCATAGTGTCTATCATCCAGGATTTGCTGTAAAATGATTTATTTAGGTATATATAAAAGAAGATATACAACTAATTCTAAATTACTTTTCAGAAGATTACTTTGGTCATATGTCAGCCTGTTTCAGGAAAATGATACAAACAATCTATTGTTAATCAGAAATAGAATTTAAAGATGTAATTTAATTCTGCTGTTAAAACTGCACACTACTCAATGAAGCAACTATCAACAAGGATAAATGGAAAGTATTGGTCTTCCCATGAATGTTACCCTTGTAGTTTCAGTGATGTTACCAATAAGGCCTACTGAGTATTGCTTACCAGAACATCACCTAATTAACATCATCTTGGAATAGTCAATCCTCCAATACCTAAATTAAGCTTATCATAATGTAAAAAAACCTGGAATGAATTGTAGGAAAAATGGCCAGTATGCAAAAGGACATATGAACCATTTTGATATATTAATCCAAAATAATAGAAGGCAGGAATGGCAGAATTTTAAAAATCCTGTGATGTAATAGCGTTTTAAATTGGTGAACCTTCATGCCCATTAGGATAGCTATTATAAATAATAATAACAAGTGTTGGCAAGGCTGTGGAGAAATTGGAAACTTTGTGCATTGCTTGTGGAAATGTAAAATGATACAGTCATAAGGAAAATAGTATGGCCACTCCTCAAAAAATTAAAGATTGAATTTTAATTTTTATATGACGCAGCAATTCCATTTCTAGGTATATAACCAAAAGAACTGGAAGCAGGGATGTGAACAGATAGTTGTATGTCAATGTTCATGGTGGCATTATTTATAGTAGCTAACATGTGTAAACAACCCAAATGTCATTAATGGATAAATGGATAAACAAAATGTGGTATCTACATGCAATGGAATATTACTCAGCTTTAAAAAAGGAATAAATTCTCATACATGCCCCAACATGGATGAGCCTCAAAGGCATTATGCTAAGTGTATTAAGCCTGTCACAGAAGGACAAACATTGTATTATTCCATTTATGCAAGGCACCTTGAGTAGTCAACTTCACAGAGACAGAAAATAGAATGGTGATCATCAAGAATGGAAGAAATGGAGGGTTAGTGTTTAACAGGTATAGCATTTCAGTTTGGAAAGATGAAAAAGTTCTGAAGATGGATGGTGGCAATGGTTGCCCAATAATGTGAATGCACTTAATGCCACTGAGCTGTCCACTTAAAAATGGTTAAATGGGAGCCGGGCGCGGTGGCTCATGCCTGTAATTCCAGCACTTTGGGAGGCCAAGGTGGGTGGATCATGAGGTCAGGAGATCGAGATCATCCTGGCTAACACAGTGAAACCCCATCTCTACTAAAAATACAAAAAATTAGCCGGGTGTGGTGGCGGGCACCTGGGAGGTGGAGCTTGCAGTGACCCGAGATCGCGCCACTGCACTCCAGTCTGGGCGACAGAGCGAGACTCCATCTCAAAAAAAAGAAAAAAAAAGGTTAAATGGTAAATTTTATCTTATGTACATTTTGCCATAATTTTAACATTGATGAGTCTAGGCAAGTGGCATATGGATGTTTTTACACTCTTCATACAATTTTTCTGGAGCTTTACATATTTTTAAATGTAAAAGTTGGGTAAAAAGACTTAAAACTGAGCTTTAATTAAAGGTACTGTCAGGGGGTTGGGTCAAGATGGTGAACTAGATGGTGAACTAGAAGCTGCTCATATGTGCCGCTCTCACAGATAGGAAACAACAGCATTGGTGAACACTGACCCTACTAGCTGATCATCTAAGAAACCATGTCAGAATTCATCCAGGCAGCAAGGGGACACAGAGGGCAGAGAGGAGCAAAGCTGGGCAGCAGCTCCTCTGGGATCAGTGCATATTGGGGGAACCCACCCCCAATATTTCAACATAGGTTCTTTCTATTTTACCTAAGTGTCAGCCAGCTGAGAAATAATGAGAAAGAGTACAAAGAGAAGAATTTTACAGCTGGGCCTCCGGGGGAGACATTACATATTGGTAGGATCATGAGGCCCACCTGAGCCGCAAAAACAGCAGGTTTTTATTAAGGACTTTAAAAGGGGAGGGAGTGTACAAACAGGGAGTAGGTCACAAAGATCACATGCTTCAAAGGGCAAAAAGGAGAACAAAGATCACATGCTTCCGAGACCAGTAAAGATCACAAGGCAAAGGGCAAAGCAAAGGTCACAAGGCAAAGGGCGAAATCAAAAACTCCTGATAAGGGTCTATGTTCAGCTGTGCACGTATTGTCTTGAGAAACATCTTAAACAACAAAAAACAGAGTTCAAGAGCACAGAACCGGTCTGACCTCAAATTTACCAGGGTAGGGTTTCTTCCCCACCTAATAAGCCTGGGGATACTGCAGGAGACCAGGGCATATTTCAGTCCTTACCTCAACCGCATCAGACAGACACTCCCAGAGCAGCCATTTATAGACCTCCCCCCAGGAATGCATTCTTTTCCCAGGGTCTTAATTATTAATATTCCTTGTTAGGAAAAGAATTCAGCGATATCTTCCCTATTTGCACATCCGTTTATAGGCTCTCTGCAAGAAGAAAAATATGGCTCTATTCTGCCCGACCCCACAGGCACTCAGACCTTATGGTTGTCTTCCCTTGTTCCCTGAAAATCACTGTTATTCTGTTCTTTTTCAACGTGCACTGATTTCATATTGTTCAAACACACGTTTTACAATCAATTTGTACAACAGTAGTCCTGAGGTGACGTGCATTATCAGCTTACAAAGATAACAGGATTGAGAGATTAAAGACAGGCATAAGAAATTATGAGTATTATTTGGGAACTGATAAATGTCCATGAAATCTTCACAATTTATGTTCAGAGATTGTAGTAAAGACAGGCATAAGAAATTATAAAAGTATTAATTTGGGGAACTGATAGATGTCCATGAAATCTTCACAATTTATGTTCCTCTGTCACGGCTCCAGCCGGTCCCTCTGTTTGGGGTCCCTGACTTCCCACAACAAGCATGGAGCCAGGAAAAGCTCCTCAATATGGAAAAGGATGAGTGAGTGAGAGTTCCCTGGAGGACTGTACACAGGAACCTGTGCTAGACTAGGATTGGGAGAATTCCCCTGGTTCCCCTGGCCCCACCCCATGCTTCTAAACTGAGGCAGAGAGCCACCCCAGAGTTTCTGCAGTGACCACTCTCAAGTCCATGGGGATCTCTATAAGCCTTGGACTCTGGAACAGAATGACACCAGTACCATATCCCCAGTAGAGGCCACGGTCCTGCCTGGGAGCAGTAAGATTATTGCACTCTGCCTTGCCATACAAGACTTGGTGCTAGCCTTCAGCCCAACAGTCCCACTGCTGCCTGAAATCAGCTGGCAGCCACAGCTTCCTGTTGCCCCAGGAAACACCCTGACAGCAGGGTAGGTGACTCCCACCCACCCCTGCTGCTGGTAGCCAGACAGGCCATGCCTGCTAGAGTGTCCAGCTCAGTGGTCTCCCTTCTGCCCCAACTATGGGGGCAGGCACAACCCCGTGTTCCCCTAGGAAGTATCTAGACAGCAGACTAGGTGACCACATCCAGTCCCACAGCTCTTAGCTGAGTAGGACGTGCAGACCTGAGTGATGCCCAAGGAGGGAGAAGCCCTCCCTTTCAGATCACTGAGAGAGGTGAGATATCTGCCCAGGTATGCAAGGCAGTGGAGGGGCAGAGTGTAATTCTTGCTGCAGGGTTGACCTGGCAAGCATATGGCCTGTCTGCCAACCATGGCCTCTGCTTAAAAGAGCCCCGTGATTCAAAACACCCAACAAAAGAAATGTGACTCAGAGCCAGTCAAAGGGGGCTCCTCCAAGGCCCAAGAGCCGACTAGGGTAGGGGGTCATCACTTTCCCTTTTCACCCCAGAGCACTACTACCAACCATGCCAAAACACAAATGAGTTGTGCTGCAGCGTTAAGAGCCTGCCAGCTAATACTCTTAAACACTACCTACTAGATCACAGCCCAAAACACA